CTGCCAGTTGGCTAGACTACCCAGCCAGTAGTCCCTGAATCCGGAACCTGCGTGAGTGCTGGGTATCCAAACTGGGGTCTTCACTCTTCAGCAGTAAGCCATCTTCCAGGGCCCCCGAAGATTATTTTAATACATTTCTTCCTTGTAAATAAAGATAATAAAAGCAGCCACACACCACAAAGACCGCTTAAATTACACTAGGCTTTTGAAATTAAAAAGCTAACCAAAAAACATCTCGTTGCACATGTCTTCCTGTCAGTTAACTGGCCACGGAGTGTTATTTTTGAGTATCTAAACGTAGGAGTCATAAAACAGTATTTGGAAGTGAGGATTTAGGCTTGGTCAGACAAATCCAAACAGGCCTTTGGAGCAGATCATTAATTCAAATAAAATTCCCATTGTAATAAACAAGCTGCAGAATCACTTACTTCAGATAAAATTGTTCAGGCAATTGCCTCTCTCTCTCTCTCTCTCTCTCTCTCTCTCTCTCTCTCTCTCTCTCTCTCTCTCTCTCTTTTCTAGACAGAATTTCTCTGTGTATCCCTGGCTTCTCTCTCTGTAACCGCGGCTGTCCTAGAACTCACTATGTAGGCCACCCTGGCCTCAAATTCAGAGATCCCCCTGCTTCTGCCTCCCGAGTGCAGGGGATTAAAGACATTGCCGCCACCACCGCCCTGCTTCAAGCAATTGGCCTTAGTGATAAGCTCTCCTAGGGTCAAAGTGTGACAGTTATTCCTTCCCAGAACAACTGTAACAAGAAAGGAAAAGACATGAGTAACAATTATATGCAGAAGACAACAGGAACCAGCCTGCTCATTCGTGAGGATGAAACAAGTTTAATGGCCTCTGGCAGGTTCTCAGTGTACAACCTTCGTCTGTGTGAGACACCTAAGGCAGCACAGGAAATGATTAATGTGTGCATTAATAACATCTCAACATTGGCTCATGAGAAACATTAAAAAGAAACAGTGCAGCTGGGCGGTGGTGGAGGCAGAGACAGGCAGATCTCTGTGAGTTCCAGGCCAGCCTGGTCTGTAGAGCAAGTTCCAGGACAGGCTCTAAAACTTACAGGGAAACCGTCTCAAAAACAACCTCCCCCTCCCCCCAAAAAAAGATGCTTGTTGGTGGGAAATACATAGTATTACAGAAAAAATGCCTTCTGGGTTCCTTTTTATAAGATGCATAATCACTGCCTCAAGTAACAAGCAGGCTCCTGCAGAGGCCACTGTTCTCTGAGTTATGATAGATACGTAGCTTATAGACAGCACTTTTTCAGTCTAAGCAAAAGGGTATTTCTCAATAAGAACAGTTATGAGCAGACATCTTCATGAAATGGAAGTCGTGATCTATGAACATCTTTCCCCCAGCTTAGCTCTACAAACAACAGCCCACTCCTGGAGAGTTCTCCAGTACCAAGGACAGATCTGTGCTCAGATTAGATAGGAGCATGTCTGGCCTGCAGCACACACGTGTGTCGCAAGACAGCTATAAACTATGCTGACACTTTTCTAGGTGACAAGGTCAGATTAGAGTCAGAAGGTTGACACCGTGAAAAAGTTCAAGATTCTTACAAGTTTGCTAGCCTTAGAAAGTTGGCCTGTTTTCTACTTTGCTTTTCTGCAGTTCAGCAGATGAGAATTAAAATTAATAAGCAGAGATGAGAGGGAAAGCAAAGTACATAATCATTTCCTCTCATAGAAGGGCAGGCACGTCCCTGAGCCATAAAGGAAAATGGGTATTTCTCTTTGTTGAGTGAAATGATCGGTCCTTTAGCATTTACAAACTACCAGAAGAATTTAATGATTTGCAGTTCTCAGAATTAGCACAAAATTAGTGTCTAAGAGGGCAGGACAGAGAGGAGCAGCGACTCAGAATGGTAAAGCTAAACATGAGGTAAATGTTGACGGGGTCTCTTACAAACAAGAGTGTGAGCAGTGTGGAGGGGGAGGATCCCCAGTGGGTAGCAAGTGCTCTCCATCCAACACCAGGCCGGTAGCGCTATCTTCCCATTTCCTGTTTCCCATCACTGCCTGCATCTGTGGTCTGCGGGCAGTCTGTGACGTGCCCCACCTTTACCTCGGCCCAGAGCTCTAGCAGGGCTTCTGAAGGAAGCCAGCAATGTGCTGAGCATCCGTCATGTTCTGCCGTCCCCTTCACCAGTCGGCATACCGGGCGTTACCTTCCACGGGCAGCCACAGCTATAGTTGTGACGCTATGGTCTGCTGTGACTGTCGCATTTGTGCAGGGAAAGAAACGATTTCTCCATCTGCAGTACACAACAATCTACAGGAACTAAACAATAAGGCTGGAAGCCTTCAAGGCTGCCTGGGTTGCAAAGCCAGCCTGAAAGAATGTCTGAGACCTGGGACTGTGGCTCTGGGGTTCACGTATGTTCGGCCTGAGTTCTGCAAGAACTCAACAAAGGGGAGGGAGACCAGTCAGCAAACCAGAAAGGGCTGCCATCCCAGTCACTCCCTGAGGTAGGCTGTCAGAGCCAGATTAAGCATCGTGTTCTCATTAAATAAGCAATCCGTTTTAAAACCAGTTCAATGTCGCTTTCATATCTAGTTATACTAGTTATAATCAGGCTAGAGAAAGAATAAGAGCTTTTCCTACCACTCGAGCAAATAAATATAAAGTTCACCATGTCACTTAACGACCTAGCTTGAAAACAACGGTGCGCCCATCCTTGTCCTGAAATAGAGATATTCGGGTCAGAGAGACTTACTGTGCACTCCAGAACCCACACCTAACTGAAGATCCAAAATGACCTCGATGCTCCCTCTCTTGGGGCAAAGTAAAGTTTATTACTGCCTTGAGGCAGATTAAGGAGACTTTCAGGTTAGAATCACTTTCAGAATTTTACCATCTGAAGACAGAAACCGGAACTTGCAAAGAGTCTGAGACTAAAATGTTAAACTTAAGAAAATAATTACAAAACAAAGGTAAGAAGACTGTGGTTATCAATCTTTTTTATTGAAAGGTGGAAGACAAGGAAAATAGCCTCTCAAATGCCAAAAACAAATCTGTACCTAAATGTAAATAAGTGCTTTACATACCAATAAACTGTCCCTTTCGCCCCCCCAAAACTGAGTTTACCAAACAATGCTAATTTATTATTTACAAAAAAATCTTACCTGCCATAGAACTGAATTTAGAAAAGAAAATCTTATTTTGAGTACATTAATTAAATTTCTTAAAACATTTAACCTAAGAAAATGTTTCCTCAATTGCCTACCCCTTCCATTCCGGAAAGAAGCCTATTTCAAACAAGTTTATACAGAAATGCACACATAATACAACACACAGTGCTGTGTACACCAACCTGATCATTAAGGTCAGTAGTCTTGTCATAGGAACATAGACAATCAATATATGGCTTTATGTAACTTTGCAACTAAGTATCAAAAATGTTTAATTCTTTTGATAGCTAACCTGAGTATGGGATATATATGACTTAGCTAAGAGGATATAAATAAAATGAGAAAAGGGGAAAATGTGTGTGTATGTGTGTGTGTGAGAGAGAGACCTAAGTTTTTAAGTGAAGGTCTATATATTATTTAATAACATATTAACAATGACTCTGTATAGCATATGACCTTATTAAAACTGCATCTTAAGTGCTTTATTGTTCTGGTCTAAGATATTGGAAATTAAAAAAAAACTTATTTCACATGGAGAATGAAGAGTATACTAACTAAAAAACCACTAATATGCAGTATTAAAATAGGTATTTGTGTGTAACAAAGGTAGTTCTCAGTTCAGCAAGTTCTCAGATGGCATCTGAAGAGGATTTTTAAAAAGGAACCCGTAAGACCAGGGGCATAAGCATGATTCAAGTCTGTAAGGCTTTAACTTGAACTCTTGAGCACGTTGGTTATTCATACCCCACCTTCACAGAGGTGTATGCATTTGACAATCAACTAAACCTTTACATTATGGGTAACTGACTGTGGGCTACATAAGAAACATGCACTCCTTTAAGGGAAAACCGTAGGCTCATCTATCTGGGGAACAACCTACCAGTGTTTCCTTGCAGTACGACCTCAGAGTGTCTACTGTAGGGGACTGGGAACAAACACACCGTGGTAAAGATATCACCCCTAAAATCCAGGTCTTAACAGTATCCCTTCCTAGTCTTAGCACTCGTTTATTAGGAATCTGTTCCCCAGAAAGATGATGAAGAACCCTAAATTCAGCTTAAAGTGGCTTAGTAAGTGCAGTGAAAGCCAGCCAGTTACACAGAGAACGAACAAACCCTTATTTACAGTCATGACTTTGAACTCCTCTCCATGAAATGTCCAGACTACAAGCTGAGTTCCTGTGAGCCACCAAGATGTCCTGTTTCACTGCCCATCTTCGTTAGCCATCACTGTTGCTACCGTTGATTCTCATTGGTTCCTCACCACATACAAAGCATGGGCGGTGAAAATGGAGCCCACGGAACGGAAACGGCAGTCTCCCGAAAGGCAGCGCAGCACAGAGCAGGAAAGCTGGCTGAAAGTCGTCAGTCAAGACAGGGACCCAGGATAATACAAGGAAAACGTTTGCAATGCAAGAGCTCCTTCCATCCCCCCATCCCCCCCCCTCTCCCCCCCCCCCCCCCCCCCCCCCCCCCCCCCCCCCCCCCCCCCCCCCCCCCGCACACAGGCATCCAAGTGGAGCAGACCGAGGCTGTGCAGACTTCCCTACGCACCTCGCGCCCATACACAGCGGCCGCGCCAGAGCTCTAGGAGGCTACGCCTGACACTGGCCTGGCGGGCCGGGGAGAGGCCCCGAGAAAGACGAGCTGACGGTGCTGTTACATCTGAGTCACTATCATCGCCTCTGTTTAAAAATTTGTTTTTGTAGCATGGAAAATTGTAAAATAAGCCTTTTAATTGCCCATAATTCAACTTTGTGCATGCCAGTTTTTCACTCAGCTATTATTAAACATACAGGTGCCCTTTAGTAAGAGAAATTTCTATCACCCGGAAAAAGATTACACTAGGGCTAAAGAATCTGGCCACGTAACTTCATTAATTAAAGGGATAAAAACATCAACATTCTTAGTTTCTCCCAACTTCTAACTATTAATTATTTTCTTATTGTTGAACATAAATATTTTAAGATTTATTCCAGAAAGTAGCACTAGGAATTTTCATATATCCATCAATTTAAGAAACTGTGCAAAACAATATACATAATATACATCCCAAAATACACGCACATGTGTGTACACACACACACAAACACACAATATATTATATATATGTATATGCTTTCATAACTGAATCCTGGTTCTTTGAAGGTTTGTACAATATGGGAAATTTAAATATTTACTAGATTTGAGCACATACATTTTCCTCCATTTCCTCCCCCATGTGTATACATTAACAGAGACATAGATCAAACAAACTGAATTGTCAGGTTGTTTCTGCAAACTCAACAGAAAGCATTGTTATGAACCTTTATTAGGGCTCACGTTTCAATATGGATCATACTAAAGACTTCTGAAAGCTATGTACATACAATGCTGACACACTTGACAGCAAAGGAAACGTCGATATAAATAAGCTCTATGGAAAACCTTAAATTGTCAAAAAAGAATTCTGGCTCATATTACAAAAAATATATTTATGTGATTTTTGTCAGCTCCATTCTGAACCTAAAACTCAGACTCCTTTGATGTGACCGGCAATGGTGACAGTGCGGCGGGCCCTAGTGCGCGGATTCAGTCACGGACAGGCACTGCGGAATGTTACGAAGCTACATAAACTACGCTGTAACCAACGAGAGCACTTCCTGGGCTCGCTTTCAGATTTCATGAATCGTTATTACAAATTATCTTTAAAAAGGAATTTTAAACACAATGTACAAATTCAGCACAAATTGTCATTATCGTTCTTGTCTTGATTTGAGTGCACAGAACTCTGTTGCCGTGTATCAACTACATCAGTGAGACTTCCAGGACACAGTTCTTCCCTGAAGTCTTTGTTACTGTCTTCAAATTTAGACTCCACGTCAATCTGGAAACCTGAAAACTGAACATGATCCAACTTCGTCTTAACAGTTTTGCCTTCTGTGCTATCCAGGGTTCTAGTCTTTTCAGCTATGGTAACTCTCAAAGGGTCTTCCTTGGTTCTTGTAGGGGCAACAGGTTCATGTTTAATCTGTTGGGATTCATACTTAGAAGGAAGTTTGTCTGAAAACACAGAGTCTGATGAGGTTTGGTTCACAGCACAAAGGATGTTGCCGGTGTGAGGTTCGAGAACGGATGACTTAGGACCTGATGACATGCATGTTTCGTGACAAGTGTCCTCCTCTGCGTGATATAACTTAAGTCGAACATGCCACGCCAAACTGCACACGGCAGAGACGGTCTTGAACTGATGAACAACGTTCCTGGGAATGAAGTAAATGTCATTGTCGTACAGCTGAATCCTGGCATAGCGAATGCCTTCTCTCCGCAGCTGATTAAGTTTTGCATCATCAACCCACTGAACACACTGGAAAAAAAAATAGAGGTAAGACTTGCACAACAAAATCTAAGTGAAAATGATGATTATTTTAAGTTTTGGTTTTACCTGGGACAGTGGAGGTTCGTGTAAATCTAACTGCATTCGTTGAACTACTTCTAAGAAATCTTCTGCATGGAAACAAATCACATCTTTGGTTATTCGGGGCTGGTCAGGTCTGTAAAGGAGGGTGATAATAAAGGAACCTTCCATTAATGTTTCATCCTGTTAAGTCCTTAATAAATTCAAACAAAACTAGTTTACGATCAACACCAAAACCTTACAAATAAAGAAAACCACTTCATCTGTTAAAATCAGGTTAGCCGTGAGCTCCAACCTAAACAGACTAACAACTGTCTTTACTTTCAGAATTATCCGTAAATTATACAAACCATCAAAACTAAGTATCTCATTTTAATGCAGTTCAATTTTTCTTTAAGTGTTAAAATATAAAATACCGCATAAAAGAAGCAGAAGCAAACAAGAAAGACACAGACTACGTGTTCTCATTTCCATGTGTAAGTTAAAGGGGCCTTGGCAAAGCACAGAATGGTAGTTATCGGGCTGGAGAGAGTGAATTACAGAGGAATAACTGGAAATGTTCTGTAGTACAGGAGGGTGACTATGGTTAACACTTAGTTAAATACTGCAAACAGGCAGAAGAGAGAACTTCATTCTCACCACACAAAAATGGTGGATGCTGTGGTGGTTGTGGAAGTAACAGATAAAGCAGTGTTCTGCTCTGTTATATAGGGTATACCTGTGTTGAAATATCACACTGAATCTCATAAATATGTACATTTAGTATATTATTAATTTTATAATGAAAAGTATGGGCAGAAGGGGCTCACGCCTGTAACCTGGATTACACAGTGACACTCTACAAAAAAAAGAGAGAGAGAAGAAATACTTTCTTGTTCTACAGAAGATACTGTCTACCTGAACACACCCAATCTCAAAAGCTCTGGACACTAAGTAGGCTTAGGCCCAGTTAGTGTGAGATGGGAAAGATTGCACACAGCCATGCTGATGATGCACACAGCCATGCTGATGCACACAGCCATGCTGATGATGCACACAGCCATGCTGATGATGCACACAGCCATGCTGATGATGCACACAGCCATGCAACCCTAAGGACTCTTGCAGTTTTATTTTGTATACTAGTGCACATTAATGGGTCTTAGTAACAATAAGTTAAGAAATGTCTATTACAAATACTCATTCTTCATTGGAGACATTACATTTCTTATATAAATTATGAAAAATTTCCAAATTCTTCAATTAGAAATACAAAAATACATTTTCACAGAAGATGCTCAAAATAAATTTCTGAAGTGAAATTCCAATCAAGGCAGTACACAAGGAAAATCCTGACAGTCTAGCCTGACAGAGACAACGACCAATCAATGTGCAGTCACGGAGCCCTGTCTCAGCTAACACATCTAGAAAACACTCCCGCAGCTAAGGCTCAGAGGGGTGGAAGAATTCTAAGAGCCAGATGACCAGGGCTATGCTGTGAGATCCTGTCTCCTAATAAGTTACATCCATAGAGTCTCACCAACAGGACTGCCCAAAAAGGACACCAAAGTGTGCAAAGTCACATGGGGAAAGCCTTTGAGGCCCCAACCCTACACAAAGAACTGCAGGCTGCTAAGTAGAAAGGTGGGGGAGAGGGGGCCCTCTGGGGACAAAAGCACACTAATTGGTTGTCTAATAACAAACGCTCATCCTGGGCAACAGACATAAAAGAACCATTATATGGAGTTAACATATGGAGCTATATACATAGATACAAGTACATATATGGCTATAGTAACAACTGATAAAAAGAAAAGGCCATGAATCTGAAGGAGAGCAGGGAGTGATGTAAGGGAGGGTCTGGAAAGAGGAAAGGGAAGAGAAAAAGGTTGTAATTAAAAATATAATCTCAGCCGGTGGTGGTGGAGCACGCCTTTAATCCCAGCAGTGGGGGGGGGGGGGGGGGGGGGGNTTGAGGCCAGCCTGGTCTACAAGAGCTACAGCCTGGTTCCAGGACAGGCTCCAAAGCCACAGAGAAACCCTGTCGTCTCGAAAAACCAAACAAACAAAAAATACAATCTCAAAAAAAAAAAAAAAAAAAGAAAGAAATATAAGTCATAATATAGTCAAATCCCTAAGGTTCAATGAGAGAGTCTCCTGGATGATACTACATACAGAAATGAGGGCAGCCAGTTCCTGGAGTGCAGACTTTTCAAAGACTAAAACACAGAAGAAAGTATGGACAGAAAACACAACTGCCCTCCCTCCTCTGCGCTGCTCCTCAGACACTGTCCTGGCAGACTAACCGAGGGACAGAAAGTAGCAGATGAATGGATATTTGAGGTAAAGAAATGGCTGAAGTAATGAGCCACCAAGAATACTACAAGACAAATGTTCTACAACTTGACTGTCGTTGTAGTACATAGCTAAAGAAATTAGTCAAAACAAGGAGCAGGCTTAAAATTGGTACATGTTTTATTGAATGTAAATTATACCCCAACTTTATGGGTATAATTATGGGCTCGAGAGACAGCTCCACAGGCAAAGCACTAAGCAAGTGTGAGGACCTGGGTTCAGAGCCCAACCATGCCAAGTTGAGCACTATAATCCCAGAGTTCTTATGGCAAAATGGGAGTGGAAAACAATAGAATCCAGTCCCAGAAAGCTTGCAGGCAGCTTTCCTGCATACTCAGCAGCCGAACAAGAGAACCTGTCTCAAAGAAGCAGAGTAAGAGGACTGAGTCTCAGACACACTAACACACACCACGGTCATGACATAATGAATGACCTCCCAAGGTCATTCGTAAATGAGCTTACAGTAGCTCTAGGTATATCTAGTTCCCTTTAACCAGGAATTTCTCCATTAGTCATTTTAAAAAGGAAATTATTCCACTCAAATTAGAGTCTAGCAATTTAAATATTCAATTCAATTATGCTATCCAAATGTAAGAGCAAAATAAATGATTTTCCCTAGCAAAAAGAAATTATGAACATTTCCAATACAGGGCTTTTGTTTTGTTTTTCTTTTTCTTTTTTTTTTTTTTCTTTTTTGTTTTTTTGTTTTTCGAGACAGGATTTCTCTGTAGCTTTGGAACCTATCCTGGTACTCACTTTGTAGATCAGGCTGCCTTTGAACTCACAGAGATCCACCTGCCTCTGCCTCCCGAGTGCTGGGATTAAAGCCGTGTGCCACTACTGCCCAGCTTTTGTTTTGTTTTTCAAGACAAAAGTTTCTCTCCACAGCCCTGGCTGTCCTGGAACCCTCTCTGTAGAGCAGGCTGGCCTCAAACTCACGGAGAGCCTCCTGCCCCTGCCTCCCCAGTGCTGGGACTAAAGGTCTGTACCACCATCTCATGGCCCAATAAAGATTTTAAATGGCATACACTTTTAATCCCAGTACTTGGGAAGAAGAGGCAAGTGAGTCTTTGATGTACATAGTGAATTCCAGGACTGTCTTAGTAAGGCCAGCTCCACAGTAACACACTGTCTCGAAAACAGTGAAAGGAAATATAATAAAATAACAGTAGTTAGTGTAAGGAAGAACCCAGGTTCAAGTTCTAGTACAGCCAACGCCAACAAACAACTATAGTGGGGCTGGAGTTGAGCAGTTAAGAGCGCTGGCTGCTCCTCCAGAGGACTCAAGCCCATCTCCAACACCTATGTGACAACCCCAACTGTCCTCTTCTGCCCCACCAGACACGGCTTGCGTGGGATTCAGGCGAAACATTCAGACACACAGAATAAATCTGAGGAAGCAGCTTGTGTACCGCTGTCCACAGTGCACAGCCTTCAGCACCCCCACAGCAGCTGTGGTCTGTCGCTCAAAGCCTTGGCCTATGTGGTCAGCGTGGGCCCTCGTCCTGTCTTCAAACAGCATCTCCCGAGGCTCGCTGGTTCGAGGTAGATACTGAAGGTTTTTGATTTCATTGGTAGTCCTGTTTATTAAAAGAGATTTGCATTTAAATACTGAGGCTTGTTTCCTTACCAGGCATTTCATAATCACATAATTTCAGATAAAAGGAGATGTTTAATTCTTTTTTTTAAATATTTATTTATTAATTATGTATACAATATTCTGTCTGTGTGTATGCCTGCAGGCCAGAAGAGGGCACCAGACCCCATTACAGATGGTTGTGAGCCACCATGTGGTTGCTGGGAATTGAACTCAGGACCTTTGGAAGAACAGGCAGTGCTCTTAACCTCTGAGCCATCTCTCCAGCCCGA